AGAATGCCCCCTTCCCTTTGGGGTCAGGGGGAAAGAATGCCCTTACATTGGGGGGTCAGTGGGAAAATGTCCCTTACATCGGGGGTAAAGGGGGAAAAAAATTCCCCTTCCCAAGGGGGGGGCATTGGGAAGAATTTCCCTTCCTTGGTTTGGTCAGTGGGAAAAATTCCCTTACTTTGGGTGATCATTTTGGGAAAAGGGCCCCTTAAAACCTTTGGGTTTTTTTCAGGGGAAAATGCCCCCTTACTTTTGGTGGCAGGGGGAAAATGTCCCTTACATTGGGGGTCAGGGGAAAAATGCCCTTACAGGGGGGGCAGTGGAAAAATGTCCCTTAAAATTTTGGGGGTCGTGGGAGAATTTTCCCTTAAAATTGGGGGTCAGTGGGAAGAAGGGCCCCTTTAAACTTTGGGGGGGCAGTGGGAAAAATTTGGTCCCTTACTTTGGGGGGTCAGTGGGAGAATGCCCCTTAAATTGGTGTGCAGGGGAAAAAATTTACCCTTTACATTGGTGGTCTAGGGGAAAGGAATGTCCCTTACGATTGGGGGTCAGTGGGAAAACTCCCTTACATTGGTGGCAGTGGGAATAATGTCCCTTACATTGGGTGATCAGTGGAAGAATGGTCCCATACATTGGGGGCATTGGAAGAATGTCCCTTACATTGTGGGTCGTGGGAAGAGATGTCCCTTACAACGGGGGTCAGTGGGAAGAATGTCCTCATTACATTGGGGGTCAGTGGGAAAGAATTTCCTTACATTGGGGTCAGTGGGAAGAATGGCCTTCTACATTGGTTGGTCAGTGGGAAGAATGTCCACCTTACATTGGTGATCAGTGGGGAAAGAATGTCCCCTTACATTGTTGATCAGTGGGAATTCCCCCCCCTCCCGCCTCCAGATGATTCCCCCCTTCCTCTGCCAGTCCTTGTTTGCGTTACGGCACTCCTGCGCGTTTCTTTAATAACTGACAATTGCGCGCGCGGTCGTGCAGCGCTGCTGATAAATTAAAATTATTGTCCTTTTTTCCCATGAATTGAGCGTTTTCTTTTGGTGGTATTGATCACATGTGTATTTTTTACATTTTGCGCTGTAAAAAAAAAGATGATACAATTTTGAAAAAAAAAACCCCCAATATTTCCTGACTTTTTTGCTATTAAACATGTCCAGTAAAAGATGATAAATTTTTTGGCCAAACATATATCCCGCTCCGTGTCTTCACTGAAACAATATCCCGGAAATCCGTAAATTAATTGGTTTATGTGAAAGTTTACAGCATTCACAAACGGCGGGATAGATACGGGGGATTTTTGTTTTCAACTAGTAATGGCGGCGATCAGCGGACTTATAGCGGGACTGCGGCGGGCATTCTGACACTGGGGGGGGGGGGGGAACTAACTTGGTGTCCACTGACATTCTCAGTGACACCAATACAGTGATCAGTGCTAATAAAAAGCCCTGACGCTGTACTAATGGCACTGGGCAGGAAGGGGTTAACATCTGGGGGGATAGGGGGCAGGGGGTCTGTGTTACTAGGGGGGGGGGGTCTGTGTGCTTCACTGTACTCACACTGCTCTGGATGGCTGTGCTGTGCAGTGTGCCCGAACTGTCAGGGAGGAGGACTGTTACTAAACAGAACAGTCTTCCTCCCCATCAGTGATCATCAGAAATCACCGGGCCCTGACAAGTAATTACCAGCTGGGGCCCGGTGACTGACAGCCGGGGGCCGCGAATGTTGGCTTGGGTTATGGCGCATACACATCTTGTGAACGCCCCCTACCTAGAAATGCAAATTTTACATATATATATACGTGATCATGCACACCCATTCGCCCTGTAACAGTATTTCTGCTATAGGGAGGTCGGGAAGCCATTAAAGAATGATGAAGTAACTAAAATACTAGTTCCTTGGCCTCTGTGCTGATTGATTGGCCTCCATATTTATTGTTCTGCCTCACTTCCATGTATTTTTAAATCTTCTATTGACCTGCATGAGGTTATCATTTTTTGTAATATGCTAACATGTATTGGCAGTTTTGGGCAACTGCAACTTGTTTACTAAAGTAATTTTGTATCTTCCTCTGTCCTTCCCTCCTGTTTAGTGCTAGTTGGCTTAGTCCTTGCTAGGGATGGGATGCATGGTCGAGCTGAACACATGAACGGTACAGGCGTTCGGCGGGTTATTTGCCTGCTGCGCCCCACAATGAACTGCGCCCTGACAGTGCATTATGATTGGTCAAAGCAATGCACCCACCACAAGTCAGGTGCATTACTTTGACCAATCACAGCGTGTGATGTTGTCACAAGCGGGCGGGGTGAACCCGCCCCCTTGTGACATTGTGACAGCATATAAGAACTGTCATCGTGGGCGCAGCTGTCAGATGGCAGGAGCCAGCGTGGAGAGCGGAGTGTTTTTTTTGCTTTCTTTTTTTGGGTAGCGGCGGTGGCGGCGGGCATCGTGATTGCGTTGGATCTACTTCGGGGGACATTTTTCATTTCAATTTTTAATAAAGGACTTGTCACAGACTGTCTGCTGTCTTTTTTTTACACTACACTTTTTTTTTTGGTGAATGGGTAGCCCATACTCAGTCACATGTGGGGGGACGGGATCTGAGGGCCTTCTTGTTAAAGGGGGATTCCAGATTCTGATAAGCCCCCCGCCCGCAGACCCCCACAACCACAGGCCATGGTTGTGGGGAAGAGGCCCTTGTCCCCATCAACATGGGGACAAGGTGCTTTGGGGGGAGCCCCTTACATCAAAACAACCCCCATGTTGAGGGCATGTGGCCTGGTATGGTTCAGGAGGGGGAGGCGCTCTCACCCCCCCCCTTTCCTGTCCTGCCATGCTGCATGCTCAGATAAGAGTCTGGTATGGATTTTGAAGGGGACCCCCATGCCATTTTTTTTTCAATTTGGCCTCTGAAGACTGGAAACAGATCCTTTGTTTAACCGCCTCCCACCCGCCATATAAGGTAATGATGGACGCAAGGCGGTTCTCTCGTTCTGGGAGGACGTCATACGACGTCCTCCCATTCTTACCGCACATGCACGGCTCCGGGAGCATGCAGTGCGGTGCGCTGTCTCCCTCGGATCACCAATCAATGGAAAGAGCCAAAGATGTCGGCTCGGTCATGTGATCAGCTGTGTCCAATCACAGCTGATCGCATGTAAATCGGGAAATGCCGGTTATCGGCATTTCTCTCCTCACGAGCTGTCACACTGACAGAGGAGAGGAGCGGAGAGCCGGTAATCGGCATTCCTCAGAGGGGACATGTACACTGATGATCACTGTAGCCCCAGCAGTGCCACCTGTCAGTGTCCATCAGTGCCTCATCAATACCACATATCAGTGCCCATCTGCGCTGCCTTTCAGTGCCACCTATCAATGGCAGTCAGTGCTACCTATCAGTGCTGCCTATCAGTGCCATATACTGTATGAGTGCTGCCTTTCAGTGCCCATCAGTGATGCCTGTCAATGCCCATCAGTGCCACCTACCAGTGCCTCCTCATCAGTGCCCATTAGTGCCACCTATCAGTGTCCATCAGTGCAGCCTATCAGTGCCCATCAGTGCAGCCTCATTAGCGCACATCAGTGAAGGAAAAAAATCACCTATTTACAAAACTTTTATAACAAAAACTAAGAAAAAAAATATTTTGTTTTTCAAAATTTTCAGCGGTTTTTGGTTTGTTTAGCAAAAAATAAAAAAACCCTGAGGTGGTTAAATACCACCAAAATAAAGCTCTATCTGTCAAAAAAAAAATTATACAAATTTCATATGGGTACAGTGTTGCATGACCGCGCGCAATTGTCATTCAAAGTGTGACATCGCTGAAAGCTGAAAATTGGCCTGGACTGGAAGGGGGTAGAAGTGCCCGGTGGGCAGGAAGGGGGTAGAAGTGCCTGGTAGGCAGGAAGGGGGTAGAAGTGCCCAGTAGGCAGGAAGGGGGTATAAGTGCCTGGTAGGCAGGAAGGGGGTAGAAGTGCCCTGTAGGCAGGAAGGAGGTAGAAGTGCCTGGTAGGCAGGAAGGGGGTTGAAGTGCCCGGTAGGCAGGAAGGGGGTTGAAGTGCCCGGTAGGCAGGAAGGGGGTGACAGTGCCCAGTGGGCAGGAAGGAGGTAGAAGTGCCCGGTAGGCAGGAAGGGGGTAGAAGTGCCCTGTAGGCAGGAAGGAGGTAGAAGTGCCCGGTAGGCAGGAAGGGGGTAGAAGTGCCGGTAGGCAGGAAGGGGGTAGAAGTGCCCTGTAGGCAGGAAGGGGGTGACAGTGCCCAGTGGGCAGGAAGGAGGTAGAAGTCCCCGGTAGGCAGGAAGGGGGTAGAAGTGCCTGGTAGGCAGGAAGGGGGTAGAAGTGCCCCGGTAGGCAGGAAGGGGGTAGAAGTGCCTGGTAGACAGGAAGGGGGTAGAAGTGCCCGGTAGGCAGGAAGGGGGTAGAAGTGCCCGGTAGGCAGGAAGGGGGTAGAAGTGCCTGGTAGGCAGGAAGGGGGGTGACAGTGCCCAGTGGGCAGGAAGGAGGTAGAAGTCCCCAGTAGGCAGGAAGTGGGTAGAAGTGCCCTGTAGGCAGGAAGGGGGTAGAAGTGCCCGGTAGGCAGGAAGGGGGTAGAAGTGCCCGGTAGGCAGGAAGGGGGTAGAAGTGCCCGGTAGGCAGGAAGGGGGTAGAAGTGCCCGGTAGGCAGGGAGGGGGTGGAAGTGCCCAGTAGGCAGGAAGGGGGCAGAAATGCCCGGTAGGCAGGAAGGGGGTAGAAATGCCCGGCAGGCAGGAAGGGGGTAGGAGTGCCCAGTAGGCAGGAAGGGGGTAGGAGTGCCCGGTAGGCAGGAAGGAGATGGGAGTGCCCGGTAGGCAGGAAGGGGGTAGAAGTGCCTGGTAGGCAGGAAGGGGGTAGAAGTGCCCGGTAGGCAGGAAGGGGGTGGAAGTGCCCGGTAGGCAGGAAGGGGGTGGAAGTGCCCGGTAGGCAGGGAGGGGGGGTGGAAGTGCCCGGTAGGCAGGAAGGGGGTAGAAGTGTCCGGTAGGCAGGAAGGGGGTAGAAGTGCCTGGTAGGCAGGAAGGGGGTAGAAATGCCTGGCAGGCAGGAAGGGGGTAGGAGTGCCCGGTAGGCAGGAAGGGGGGTAGGAGTGCCCGGTAGGTAGGAAGGGGATGGAAGTGCCCGGTAGGCAGGAAGGGGGTAGAAGTGCCCGGTGGGCAGGAAGGGGGTAGAAGTGTCCTGTAGGCAGGAATGAGGGGGTAGAAGTGCCCGGTAGGCAGGAAGGGGGTAGAAGTGCCCTGTAGGCAGGAAGGGGGTAGAAGTGCCCGGTAGGCAGGAAGGGGGTAGAAGTGCCCGGTAGGCAGGAAGGGGGTAGAAGTGCCCGGTAGGCGAGGGGTTAATATTACTGCAATTAGCTGAAGTAAACATTGCATTGGATTCAAATCTGTTGTTTTCTTGAAGAGTTAAGCTGCCAGTGCATAGTGCCAAGTCAGCAAGTTACCACACTGTCTGGAGAGACTGGGTCTACATACAGCGGTTTTTTTAAACAGATCACTTGCTGAGTCATTGACTTAGAACAACCACGTAGGCTCATGACGCCATTCTGACTTTCCCGATCAGCATGCTTATTCTTGGCAGCAGCCAAACTACTGGGGTTGCAAAGGTCGCACTTGCAACCAAGCCTTGACATTCTGCCACCATGGGGAGCCTAAGATGGAAGGGGGTCCACTGCAGAACATGTGAAAGGATCTGGCCGTGGGACCTGTAATAAAGGACCCTGTGATGGGAGTAAAGGGCCCTGGGATCAATGGAAAGGGCTCTGGAACCAGTGGCAAGGGCCCCAGAACTGATGGAAAGGATCAAACACAGCAAATACTTTACTCCTGAGCTGGGGATGGACTCAGCAGAGCCCAGGATGACAATGTAAATGTTCTGGAATATGCACTGCTTGCTGCCCTCAATGGACCGGGGTAGTCCAAAGTCACTGGATGCAAAAGGAAAACAAAAAGAGGGTGCACTAGGCCAGTGCACCCTCTTTTTGTTTTTCTTTTGCAACTGATGGAAAGGATCCTGGGATGGGAGTAAAGGGCCCTGGGATCAATGGGAAGGGCTTCAGGACCAGTGGCAAGGGCCCCAGAACTGATGGAAAGGACCCTGGGATCAATGGGAAGGGCTTCAGGACCAGTGGCAAGGGCCCCAGAACTGATGGAAAGGACCCTGGGACAGAGTCAGAGGGGGCCTTCATGGTATCATGCACTGGGGCTCTAAGGGTTCTAGTTATGCCTCTCGTTTTGGGCCAATGTGTCAGAATGCTTCGTAGCCTGAGACCATCCCATAATAAGCAGCTTCAGAAGGATGTCCTCATTGGTAGACTCTGTGTTTCTATCAGTTCAGATTTCCTTCAGATTCAGCTTTACAAACCCAGAATAAATATAGTGAGCTGGAGAACGTCTGCTTCCATCGGAGGCTTTTCCTTTAGGTGTCTTGTGTCCTAGACAGATTCCTTTTAATGGTCAGAAATGCTGGATTCCTCTGCCTGTGGACGGGGGCCCCATGTGTTGCTGTGGACGGTGGCCCCATGTGTTGCTGTGGCGGGTGGCCCCATGTGTTGCTGTGACGGTGGCCCCTTGTTGTTGGCGGTGGCCCCATGTGTTGCTGTGGACGGGGGCCCCATGTGTTGCTGTGGTTTGGCCCATTTATTGGTTCAGAAAGCTGGAAAGAATTCATCTGAAATGAAGTCAAATACAGGAGCCTGTGGCGGGATCGTCCTCATAGTCCCCCCGAGTCTCTGTGACTGCAGACACGTCCTTCATGCTGACCTCACGTATGTCATCCTCATCCAGCGTGTTCTCGTTTTTTTCTTTTTGCCTTTTATAATATTCGTCATTTTGCTCGTATTTCACACAGATTTCTTATCTGACATTTTTCTTTTAATTGAACATCTACATATTTGCATCATAGAATATTATAAATTCGCATTGAAACCCTGATGTCCATACAGTCATTCAGGGGCGGACCGACAACTCATGGGGCCCCCGGGCAATAGGGGATCATGGGGCACCTGTGTCCTCCCCCATGCTCAAACCACACCCAAGAAAGCATATGAAAGGTACCAGGGGCATCTCATGCGGCTCCTTACTGACCCCGGGCCTGAGAGCCCGGATGGTCAGTCCACCCCGGAAGTTATGGCCAAATATACTACCCCCCCCCGTTATAATTGTGTGCACAGATATGGATGCGGACAATCATTTTGCTAAGATCCACCATCTTGCATCATACTCTGCAAATATCATTCTCTCTCCCTCCAGCCCCCCTCCCCTTGCAAGGAATGTGGTCCGTGTGTGTGCTGAATTCAGGATTGCACAGGGCACAGCTGGATACGCTTCATGGTTGTAAACCCAATTAGCTGGTTCCAGGATGTCTGTCAGACTCTTGCCTTGGCCTGGTCATAAAGCCATAAATCAGTCAGTCACTGGACATGAAAAGCATTCCAGAGTAGCAGTAAAACGTACCTGCCACTTGAAACCACTTTTTCATACAAATTCATAAATCCCGACAGGAACAAGGTATAATAAAACAAAGCATATATTCAAATAGGTCAGTTTAATACGAGTCACCTGATACCTTACACCCCTATGTAGAACCTACACGAGAGTAGAAAGCAATATGTCTTTATCTGGATAAGATATGTCATATTTGATGTCTGGACGTTCAGGATATCATTCTGCATATTAATCTGCCAGTGGCTAGGCTGCTCCATGTACCTAGTGAAGGTTATTGGCCATGGTATAAACTGGTGAGGGATTTGGTCCTAGCCTGGGTCTCTGCCTAAACCCCCTCCCCAAATGAGGCAATTGGCCCTTGGCTTCAGTAGATACCCCCTGCTGGGACACTAGAAAACAGGCTGTCATGCCTGGAGAGGAGAATGAAGAGATTCTCCCTTTTAACATCAGGAACCAACTTTGGGACAAAAGGTACCCTTTTGTTCAGGACACTTGAACTATGCTTAAACCCAGGACTTCTGCCAGTATCCTACCTTCTTAAACTTCTTTCTTTATCTCTCTGTTGTGTTATTGCTCTCTCTATTTATATATATATTTTTGTTACAGCTTTTCTGTAAATATTTTTATTGCACCATGTTGACCTTTTTAGTAATAAATCCTATTTTCTGAAAAGTGTTGAACTGTTTCTAATGCTCTTTAATGCAAACTAAGAATCCCTGCCTCTGTGCTACTGTGTGTTTTAAAACATCTGTATACATCTGTCTGCGGTGACAGTGCTATACAGATGATTATTCAAACATCATAGTGTTACTGCAAAGATTTGTGAGTTTCCTCTTTCTCTGTAAAAAGGAGGTGGTGGCAGTGTGAAAAGTTAATTGCGTAATTCACCTGACCCAGTAACAATCGCTCTCAGGCTGCTGGCACCTAGATTGGGGTCCAGTGAGCTGGAAAATCTTTGTGCAGGGTGCAGCTGGGTGTGGCATTGTTACGCACGTGACATCGCTGTTTTAGATTGGCTGGTCCTTCGGTCACAAGTTGGTGAGAAGGGCTGGGGTCTGATGCTGTGCCCGTCACCCCC